GCTGTTGGTTGTGGCCAGAGCTTGCACAAAGCCGGGGAAGAAAGAGCCTGAGCAGAGCCTGTGCTGCTGGGGCGGGTGCGTGGCGGGGGGGGAGGAGGAGGGGGAATGGCACGTGAGAACTTGGGGAAAAAGATGGCTTTAGGTTGGCTCTGGCTGCTGGGGGCTGCGATGCTGAGGCCCCACCGGGTTTGATGTTGCAGGCCATGCTTTGTGTCTGTCTGCGGTGGCCTCACCACCCCATTCCACTGCTGCGGGTGCCTGCCCACCCCCTCGCTCTGCCGTGGCTGGTTTTGGCTGTCCTTGCTGAGCAACATCCTTATATGTGCACATTGTACAAATCCATAGATGTGTACAAGGACAGATGCTGGCCCTGGCACCCCTTTGCTGCTCCTGAGCAAACCTGCTCCACGCTGGGACCAATCCAGCTACCGCAGGCATGGGAAAGACCCAAACCTGCTCCAGGTGAACCCGTGGCCTCTTTTCTTTTCCTCGCCTTTGTCCAGGGGACTCCTTTGCTTAACCAGAGCTCTAATAAACCATGTGCACCCAGCCTTCATCCCACGCGCAAGCCGCGGGTACCCAAGCCGCTCACCCTGTAGCAGACGCCTTGTCCCTCCACTTGACAGGCGTGAGATGGGGCTGTGGCCGTCGCTATAGGTGGCCCTGAGAGTACGAGGTGTCCCTGAGCAGAGTGGGGTGCTGGGGTGAGGGTGCCTCTCCACCGCCCCCCACCCAGGACCCTCCACCTTCTCTCACACAGCATTCCCCAGACCTGCATCTCTCACGGGGGCTTGGGCCACCCACCCTGGCACGGGGGAGCCCATGGGGGGTGCCAGCCCCCCAAGAACGGGCTGGAGGGGGCACAGGGTGAGCTGCCCTGGGGTCTGGCTCGGCCATGAGGCAGAGGCATGCCTGAGGCGACTCAGGGGCACCCCTGCTCCAGGCTGGCTGGGGTGAGGGTGGAGGGGGTGCAGCCTGATGGTGCGCTGAATTCAGGCTGGTCTGCTTTGGAAGAGATTGAATTAGGACAAGTTCAGTCCCCTTGCACACCACCACCCTCCCTGGCCGCCCAGCTCCTGGTGCAGCACAAACCCGGAGGGCTTTTCCTATGTGTGGGGCTTTATTGAGAAATCGGAGGTTTGGGAGATCCCCCCCACCCCGGGTTGCGGGTGTCAGAGGATGCCAAGATGCTGGGTGGGGGGCCGATGCCCTGCTCCCTGCGGGGCCAGGCCGGGGTGATGCCACTGCGCAGTGACCCTCTGTACCCCTGGGACCTCCCGGCCCCACAAGAGCCCCCACCCTCCTCTGTGTCCCCTTGTTCGCTCTGAACCACAGTGAGGACGTGGCTGGGGCTGGTTTCCCTGCGAGCCCAGCCCTGGGGCGGGGGAGAAAGGGTCTGCGTGGCGGGGCTTCCTCCCCAAGAACCTGTCCTCCATAGGCAGGGCTGCCTGGGGTGCCCAGCGTCCTTCCCCCATGTTGTTTGCTCAGTCCAGCATAGCTGGGGAGGTCGAAGGCGGCGGCGCTCATTTGCAGGACCGGAGCAAGCACTGGAAAATCCCGTAAAGCAGCTTTGAAGCCCACCAGGTTGCCACTGGCTCCCTGCAAAGAAGCCAGGATCCTGTGCTACATGCTGGTGGTCTCTGCATGGCCCTGGGTGCTTGGCAGTGACTTCAGGTACTCCACGTGCTTGCAGGTGTCCTCTCGATTGTGCCGGACATAGCAGATCACATAGACAATGACCATGGCGAACCAGCCGAACATGGCGATGAACATGGCCACGTCCGTGGTCCTCTGACGGACGCTGCAGAAGTTGACACCCGCATCCAGGACTTGGAGCAGCGGCTTGCCCACATACTCCTCGCGTGGGGCTGTGTGGCAGGTGATGTCCTGGACGGAGTCGGGGTCCAGCTGTGCCTCCCACAGCACCTCCTGCAGGGCACACTCGCAGTGCCAGGGGTTGTTGGCCAGTCGGAGCTTGGCATTGAGCGCCAGCAAGGCCTCCTTGGGGATGCTGCGGATGCGGTTGCTGGAGAGATCGAGGGTACGCAGCCCGGCAGCCACCCCTTTGAAAGCTGCCCTGTCGATCTTCTCAATAGCGTTCCTGGAGAGATCAAGTTCCTCCAGGTGGGAAAGGTGCCGGAAGGCGTTGCTGGGGATCTTGGTGATGCTGTTGGCATCCAACTTGAGGAACACTGCGTCCTTGGGGATGTCCTCGGGGATCTCCTCCAAGTGCTGGGAGCTGCAGAGGACGGCCTTCGCCCCTGCCCGCTCCGTGCACTGGCAGC